GTCTTTTTGTATTTATTTTAATACTTACCTTTTTCAGATGTCTTCAAGCTGGTCATGTGATGAGCAGGGGGTACTCTTCCTCTTTAGAGCTTCTCCCAGTAGTTGGTTGTCCACAATGATGCAGACATGGTGGCATCAGCGCCGTTGACTGCATCGTTGTATGTCTGTACAAGACACCTTGGTTACACCCCCTCAGAAGGCCCATGATGCCCTGCACTCACAGAATGTCTTCAGGCTTCCGGGTCAAATAGATGTCTTCAAGCTGGTCATGTGATGAGCAGGGGGTACTCTTCCTCTTTAGAGCTTCTCCCAGTAGTTGGTTGTCCACAATGATGCAGACATGGTGGCATCAGCGCCGTTGACTGCATCGTTGTATGTCTGTACAAGACACCTTGGTTACACCCCCTCAGAAGGCCCATGATGCCCTGCACTCACAGAATGTCTTCAGGCTTCCGGGTTAAATGACTCTAGGCATCATTTAACCTGGAAGACTGAAGATATCTAGCGCATGAAAGGAATTGCTGTGGGGGTAGCACTGGAGAGGAGGTAAGTGTTGCAGTGACAGCTAGGGGACCATTAAAAAAAGAATTCCCAGAGTTGGGCTTTAAAATAGACGGACTCATTTTAAGCCCCATGTAAGGCTTTTTTTTCTCTTTTGTTCCCTGATGATGGTCAGTTAATGATACTTTTATTTCCATTAGGCACATCAAGTCACAGTGAACCAGTTATGAGTGGATGTGCCACCGAGGCCTTCTGTCAAAGCCTCTACCCAACGTTTCCCATACCAGGATGGACAGGAACCATGTGCTGCACCCAGTCACTCTGTAATTATGGCAACAGCACTGCTACCAATAATGTAAAACATTGAAAACAAAACACTGTGGTCATTGTGAGTCAATGATGATACCTTACAGGGCTGATTTAACATACAGACGGGCCCAGGCCAGTAACCTCACCAGCGGGCCCCAGAAGCCTTTGACCATGAAGCATGCATATTGAAATACGTTTGTATTAAGCTTTTCAAAACTTGAATGTATGAATAAAGAAGTCATTTTATATTCACAGAACCAAACTGAAGTTGCATTGCATAAAATGATGTGAGACAATGGTGAAGGTCAAAATTCTTGGCTCTAGAACTAGATTTACAAGCAGATGTTAAAATTTAATCCAACACATATGCTGGGGTATGTTCCTGGTGCTCATTAGAACTGAAAAAGCTGTTCAGATAAACTGCAACATGTCTTAAACATTACAGAACAAGTCCACTTGAATGTGACCAACTACTTCTAGATATACCATGACCTGGATCAATGAGAACCTTCACAGACATCCATCCAACATGTGAGCTACTAAAGGGGTTCATTTAGACCCCACAGTCATATTAAAGGGAACCATACCCAAACATGAGTTTCATTCCTTCCTGTCTGCCCTACAGCTCAATTTTTCACACCCTACATGATGTTGTAGTATAGCCGGGAAGGAAGTCTCTTGGAGCTTAGAGGCTTGGATGCTAAATGCCATATGGGGAGTTAGTAGCATATGAATATAGATATGAATCAGGTCTAGAGATCCAGTGAGTGGTGGCCCAAGTTGAAATGGTGCAGGTTTTAAGTATTGGAGGTTGAATTGAGATACACTTGGACTATATAGTCAAGCTTATATTCTATGAAGTCCTTTGTGGGCCTACAGCAAAATAAGAATACTATGAATCAGGCCGAGAGATCCAGCGAGTGTTTGACCATCTGGAACGGTGGAGGTTTTAAGAACTGGAGTACAGAGGTTAAAATGACATACATCTTGGACTATGATGTGAAGCCTATGTTCTATGAAGTTTTTTGTGGTCCTACAGCAAGATAAGAATACTATGAATCGGATCTGGAGAGTGTTTGCCCAACCGCGAATGGTGGAGTGCAGAGGTTGGATTGAGATACATCTTGGACTATGTACTGAAGCTTATATTCTATGAATTCCTTTGTGGTCCCACAGCAAGATAAGAATACTATGAATCAGGTCTAGAGATCTAAAGAGCGTTTGCCCAACTGGGAATGGTGGAGTGCAGACTAGAGGTTGAAATGAGATACATCTTGGACTATGTAGTAAAGCTTATATTCTATGAAGTCCTTTGTGGTCCTACAGCAAGATAAGAATACTTTGAATCTGGTCTAGAGATCTAAAGAGCGTTTGCCCAACTGGGAATGGTGGAGTGCTAAGGTTGAAATGAGATACATCTTGGACTATGTATTAAAGGTTATATTCTATGAAGTCCTTTGTGGTCCTACAGCAAGATAAGAATACTTTGAATCTAGTCTAGAGATCTAGAGAGTGTTTGCCCAACTGGGAATGGCGGAGTGCAAGGGTTAAAATGAGATACATCTTGGACTATGTAGTGAAGTTTATATTCTATGACGTCCTTTGTGCTCCTACAGCGCAATAAGAATACTAGTGACAACTGCCTGTAGGTAATAATATTTGCAGGGTAAGCAGTGGACGAAGTCATTGACAGTTCACTATACCTGTCACTGAAAAGTTTTGAAGCTTTGAATGGTCCGTCCGTGACTCAGAGTATGGAAGCCAGAATGTACGCCTTACAGCCAATCAGCTAGCGGAAGGTGGCTAGTAATGGCAGACCCATATCCGTCTTAGGGAGGTTTACCTTAGAGCTGAACTGAGGGCAGATAAAACAAATATTAGATGAGATCATTAAATGTATTTTTAAAGGCAAACAATGTATGTACATGAATGTGACCTGGTAGCAGCCTAAATGTAACCTGGTATCAGAAAAAGCAGTACAAGGAGCCAATTACTTCATGTGATAGGAGGAGAGAGCAGAGTGAAGATGAGCTCATAACTGCACTGCTTCTCCTTTCACTGTCCAGTCACAGGCTGGGGGGTGCCTCCTGGATTACCTGGGCTCAGAGGAACTGGGTTGAATGGTGCTGGTCACAGAACTGAGGACATCTAGTTGCACAAAAAATACAGTGCTGGAAATCTCTGCACTGAAAATGAGTATTGCAGAGAAACCTGCCGTTTTATTTGATCTTTTTAAGAGCTCTTTATATTTTGTCTTATTTTTGGCTGGTGTTCTGCTTTAAGTCTAAGAATCTTTCTGCTGCCTCTACCTTTACGTCACAGCTCAGCAGTAAAAGCTGAAGGCAAATGTATACACCGCCTGTAGAAACAAATCAGGCTGTAGCTGTAATTATCATCAGTGTAACATGAGCATTGACAGCGTATATGTAAATTGCTATGGGCAATGTCACGTTCCTCCAGCTTAGGTAATAAAGGACTGAATGTTTGTTATAAATAGGAATGCAAATTAGCAGTGAGGTATATAGCAGAATTCCGCCACTAGATGGGGCTACAACAATGCTTTAGGTTAGAAGTGAGGTGTATTTCACCATTCAGCCACTAGATGGGGCTACAACAATGCTTTAGGTTAGAAGTGAGGTGTATTTCACCATTCAGCCACTAGATGGGGCTACAACAATGCTTTAGGTTAGAAGTGAGGTGTATTTCACCATTCAGCCACTAGATGGGGCTATAACAATGCTTCAGGTGAGAACTAAGGTGTATTTCTCCATTCAGCCACCAGGTGGAGATATAACCAAGCATTGAAAAAGATACTGGCATAGCGCTGGGTCCCTTCTCTGAGCTGGCCCCAACTGAATGATCACCCTGCATAGGTATCAGACATAGGTGCTTCGCTATGGACATTTTTTTTTAAAGCTGACGTAGCTGTTGAAGTGTTCTTCTACTAAAGCCTTCCCAGCACAACTTTAACATCTGAGACGTATGCTGGATCTAGTGGCATACTGGGCTTCTGGTGCTCTCTGTGGCCAGACTTGGTGCATAAACTGGATTTTCAAAATTGGATTCTAGGTTCTAAACCTCTCTGCCTGGGCCCTTACCCCCATTGTCCTAGGTACTGGCCAATGGATGAATTAAGGTAGATACAGCCGTGCAGAAAAAATAGCTACAGGGACAGATTTTCATGATCGGTGCCCCCACAAGTGATGTTTAACATATCAGTGGAGCCTGGTGGGCTGAGTCAGCCCCTGACTTCTTATATGTCTTGGTTACTCCAACAGTGAGATGCCCCTGCCGTAATTCCTGACTTTGGTCCTGTCCACCGTTGTGTGTGTTTGAGCTCCTCCAGTTACAGTCTATCAATTAAAATAAGAAGTCCAAGTGGATGGTGGGAACCCCGTATAATTGGCACTGCAGGTGTACAGACCCAGAAACTCATAACAGGGATGGTGGGAACTCCTCATAATGGGCACAGCAGGTGTACAGACCCGGGAACTCAGCACAAGAATGGTGGGAACTCCTCATAATGGGCACAGCAGGTGTACAGACCTGGGAAACCATAAAAGGAATTGTGGGAACCCCTTAAAATGGGCACAGCAGGTGTACAGACCCGGGAACACAACACAGGGATGTGGGAGCCGCTCATAATGGGCACAGCAGGTGTACAGACCTGGGAACCCATAAAAGGAATTGTGGGAACCCCTCATAATAGGCGCAGCAGGTGTACAGACCCGGGAACTCAACACAAGGATGGTTGGAGCCCCCCTTAATGGGCACTGCAGGTGTACAGACCCGGGAACTCAGCACAGGGATGGTGGGAACCCCTCATAATGGGCACAGCGGGTGTACAGACACGGGAACTCAGCACAGGGATGGTGGGAACCCCTCATAATGGGCACAACGGGTGTACAGACCTGGGAACTCAGTACAAGGGTAGTGGGAGCCCCTCATAATGGGCACAGCAGGTTACAGACCCGGGAACTCAGCACAGGAATGTCACCAATACAGTCCAGAAGAGGCAAGTAAAGAAACCTGTCAATGTGGTATTTCAGCTATAAACACGGACATATCAGCTTTGTGTGGACTGATCCTTTAAATACTTCTAATACTTTCCCTAATATTCAGACGTTACTATCTCCCTGCCCGGCTCCAGAATGTCAAATGTGTTAGCTATGCGAAGAACGAAGTCTCACTATTGACTAAAGTCCACACACAGGGAGTACAATGAGCCCTAATGACTGATGTGTCTTCACCCTCCTATTCCTCCCTTCTAAACAAACAACTCCGATCTCTCAATGGACCCAAAAAAGTTCTATTTTTACACATCGGCATCCGATAGCGACAACCCGGCGTGACAAGAGACGCCACGTATAATCCCCGGGGAACGCACAATCCCCGTTGCGTCACCCGTAGAAGATGAGCGCATTCTATTTGCTCATTTACAGTCGCAGAGATGTCACTTTTTATTTTTTTTCCGGGCCCAGCCTGCATTGTCCGAATTCCAAATTCAGCTAATTTGCTCGCTCCCCCACCCGGCACGCCCCGCTCTTTTTGTCTCGCCTCTCATCCAGCCGCATTCCACAAAGACAAAAAGATTTTGCTATCGGGTGTCTGAAAGACCCTTTGCGTTTATTTATTTACTTGTCCGGTCAATGCGACTTGAGACGCATCAAAGGGACCGGGTAGTCACAGGGGTGTCAAACTCAATTTAATCGTGGGCTGCATCAACATTATGGTTGCCCTCAGGGGCGTAACTAGAAGTCACAGGGCCCCATAGCAACATTTTGTATGGGGCCCCGTGATTTCTAGTTATACCCCTTGCAGAGCCCACTCGAGATCCCACCTGAGGGTGAACTTGCAGAGCCCACCACAGACTCTCTATGGTGGGCTCTGCAGGGTCACTCTCAGGTGGGCTGGTCGCACTCCTTACCTGTCCGCCTCTTCTTCCTTCACGGTCGCTGATGGGCCCCGCCTCCTCCTCCGTCGCTGGGCCCACGCCCTTCTTCGTCACCGGGCCCGGCCTCCTCCCCTGCTGCCGACCATTGGCCCTGCCTCCTCCTCCACTG